AGCCATGGAGGAAACTTGTCGTGCATGTAGATCTACACGAAGTGAATATGAAACAGACGACCAAGAAGAGATTTCCTGTTATGCCATAGGCTCTGGCCAAAGCATCTCTAGCGATACTGAAGTAAACACTGATCCATTGATAAATTTGGACCTGGATGACGGAGCGGCTATAAACAGAAAAAGCTTGTTCCCAATAACTGCCTTTGCCGAGGCCAGCTCAGCAGGCTCGAAAAGACCTAGAATTTCTCGTGGACGTGGTACCTAGTCGATTTGAGTGCTCATCAGCACGTGTCTTACTTTCCTGGTGAAGCACGTACAGTTCGTCGTGAATGATTGTAATGCAAAGCCTACAGTCTAGGGCTATCAGAAAAGAAGAGTATCGTGGCCAACCATTTTGTCTCCACGCAACCTCAGGAGAAGAAGACAGTGCAAGCAGAGGATGTAGAGCGGCAAAATAACTTCTGACCACGTGTTTTCAGGATTTCCGCAAATAGGAGGGATCTCGATCTGAGATCGTCTATCAGGAACTGGCCTCACATGAGCTGTTTCAGATGAAGACATTTTTCACAGAGTGGACACAGTGACAGCTTGTCTGCAGGCAGGAATACCACTTCCCATGATAAGCTTCCAGCATCCAAATGATCACCAGCAATAATGGTTTCACCTCTCATTACATGGATAATCAAAGAAAAAGACTTGATAAACCCAGTATTTAGGCACAGCCCTGCATCAAAGTTGCAATGGAGAGCAGCCTATGGAGGCAAGATCATGTCTTATAGTGCTAAGAAGTGGTGGAGCTCGTGAGAGATATTATAGCAGCTTCAGAGGCAGATCGGCTAAATGCATCCTTTCCTGGAAGTTTGGTAATGTGCAGCCTTTCTTCCATTTTTGTTCAAAACCAAGAGCATGATAGGCTTTGTTGAAGCATTATGATCAGCATTACAGGGTAGGTTTTGGAGCATTATGATAAGCATTATAGGAACATTTTCGGAGCATTATCCGCTGTACCCTACACGTTACCTTACTTCCCTTCATCGAATTAGCAGACAATCAGGCAGCACCGATGCCATCTCCCCAGATTATTCCCTGGATCCTACAAGAGATGAAGATATTTGTATGAATACAAAGTCCATGAATACAAGTCCACAAAGGACGAAACAGTTCTGTCCGCAGATTGAATACAAGTTGGACACATACAGCAAAGACAAACAAAAGAATAATTCACTGGTTTGAGGGAATAAACGGGAAAAGTCTGAACGGACAAAATTGACTGTCATCACCAGGACTCAAACCAGGCACCCTTGCTTGTATCCAGCGATGCTCTAACCACTGAGCTATCGTGTAGTCGTCATCCCAGCAGAGACCGTTCAACATTCTTCAGACTTCGTAACTCACACTTCCTGTGAATCCTCACAGGCAAGAATAGTTACGCGTACAATTTGATCAACCAGAATCGAACAACACATGAAGATACTATTCTGGCAACTTTGTACAGAGCATACGTAAGTCTATAGGAAACCAAGGACTGCACTAGACTGTTTGTAATTGCTGCACACACTGACTACAACTAGACACTGGTATACTAGGTGCGGACTATTTCCACACTCAACAAGTTAGTGTTGGTCCCGATAATGCCGCCGAATCAGCCCATCCGTGTGTGAAAAGCAAGCTGCTGCAACATCAAGTGTACTAGTAGGGAGTTGGACGGCGGAGTAACCTGGTAAACACGTAAACAAGGCCAGTACACAATCACCTCAAAACTAGCACTGATGTTTTTGCCACTTTTAAATTAAACATTTTGTTTTTGTCTTTGTGCCGTGCATTTTCATGGCTATTATTATATTGCTGTTACACATTTCAGAAGCTATTAATTTTATCAGTGCATTTACCATCCAAGTTGGTGTGGATTGTACAGAATAACAGTGCGATTACTCTAATCGCGTGTGCACATGGGTGATTCTAACAGTAGTTTTATGTCGCTGAGTATGGCCGCTGCTATTCTGCTATGAATTTTTATTCAATACGGCTTTTGATTATCACCTTCTCGTAGCTGATGCACGACTTTCGGTGGTGGTACCCCTTGCAGGCTGTGTTGCTCGTATATTCATTGTGGGAAATCACACTTTGATATCTCAGCCCCTCAAGTTCGTATATTCATTGTTGGAAATCACACTTTGATATCTCAGCCCCTCAAGTTCGTATATTCATTGTTGGAAATCACACTTTGATATCTCAGCCCCTCAAGTGCGTATATTCATTGTTGGAAATCACACTTTGATATCTCAGCCCCTCAAGTTCGTATATTCATTGTTGGAAATCACACTTTGATATCTCAGCCCCTCAAGTTCGTATATTCATTGTTGGAAATCACACTTTGATATCTCAGCCCCTCAAGTTCGTATATTCATTGTTGGAAATCACACTTTGATATCTCAGCCCCTCAAGTATATATACATGTATGTGCTACGTCTGCAGCATTGCCTTCTGTAAATACTGTACTTCGAAGTAGTTCCTTTGCTCTGATTTGTTCCTCAGCAGAACGTTGATTCCTGGAGAGTTGAAGCCGAATTGTTGTTAGAATGATCAGAATCGTATTTCTATTGTTTGTGTTTCACCATGTTCTCATTCACCTTGTATACAATTGGACTGGGATGGAGAGCCAAGGATGAATTATAAGAAAGAAAAAGTACCAAGGAACTACAAGTTACAAATCCCCCTCCTTATGTTTGTATTCTATAGCTATGATATTTAGAACCTTCCAAGATGCAAGGCTGTTGGAGTGCGCATCCAAGATGGGCTAGAGCTGTTAGCCAGTTAGTGGTAGAACGTCAGTACCGTCGGTCAGTGTCGTGCAATGTTATCGCATCGGCTGATTATTTAGTAACCGGAGGTGTTATAGTGGACAGTATAGCGTGACTTGTACTTTCTTGGTCCTTTCACTTTTAGCCAAATCTTTCTCTTTTGTATAAATTAATTCGGCCTTGGCTCTCCATCCGAGTCCATTCTTGCACATTCTATTGCTTTTAGCGCTGTCAAGAATAAAACAGGGCAATGTTGTAGGGTTGTTGCAGGTTAGTGCCAGAATCTCATCTTCGTTGTCATAGTAATCCCACCACTCCTCACATGTCCTTTCCAAAGCACATTTTCGCTTTTTCTTGTTTTGCACACCTCCGTGCATGAAGATGTTTGTGACTACGTGTATTCGTGTAGTGTGCATGCGTGTGTGTGTGTGTGTGTGTGTGTGTGTGTGTGCGTGCGTGTGTGTGTGTGCGTGTGTGTGCGTGTGTGTGTAGTGTGCATGCGTGTGTGTGTGTGCGTGTATGTGTGTGTGCGTGTATGTGTGTACGTGTGTGTGTGGCGATTAGATATAATGTACGTACATAGTGTGTGTTCATGTTGCTTAAACAATGGTGTAACTTTGTTCGGTGCAGTTCCCTTTCACCTTTTAAAATTGTGTTGTTGATATAGGTCCACCTTACTGGTTTCTCCTCATTGCTGCTCCTAGCCGAACATTTGTTTGGCATGATACTAGAATATGCATCAAAGAGACTACATGTACTGGTACTTGATTTGCTGATGATGTAGCATATTCTGTACTATGAGATGAATTACTCTAACATCACTTTAGAAAAGCTTGAGTTTTGTCCCTCTTGTATGCTCTTTTAGCCCCTTCCCTCACACAAGCAAGTCAAGAGAGAGGTTGTGCACAACGGACATTCGTAGTGCCGTAACGCATATATTTTAACGAAAAAAGCTAAGGAATATTCGTAAACCGTGAGGTTGCGCACAACGCGTAAACGTTTTCGTAGTGGGGTCGACGCAGCGGCCGCGCGGGTGCGAAGAGTCAAGACAGGGAGTCGTAAAATATCAGAATTTTAATACTCCAGGGAGCGAAAAGTATTTTCGTAGATCTGCTCTGTTTCGGTCACGTTTGGATGGATTTTCGAAGCAATTTTCGTTACTTGAACCCGGACAGTGATTTTCGTTGTGCGCAACCTCCCTAGTAACTCGCGAGGTATCTTTGGATTGACTAGCGCTGGAATCGAAACACCTGGTTAAGTTTGAATCCTTCATGATGTTGTGCCGGCCTGGAGAGCACGATGAAAGTGGTGCTATTCTAGCGCAGTCTTTCTCAGCTTACTCAAGCTCAACTGATGAGAGATAAATTCCACGAAACACTGTGCATTGAACAGGGACTGGTGCTTTCTTGCACGTTTGCAGGTCGAAGGCTCAATGGGTATGGCGTGTGCCCTGGATGGCAGTCGTCAAGCCGTCAACTGGAATCGAGTGTCAAGCGGCTCAAGCCGAGCCACTGACAGTTCACTGACACTGACAGACTCAGTGGATAGCACGATCTTCAGTCTAGGGAGCAACCAACAGTTTCCATCGTTACGTTCCTTGTATTGTGGGTTTGTCATGTTTGATGACGTCAACAGATGTACAGGCATACATGTATCTGCCTACTCGCCACTCGCCAGTCAGTTTGTGGTCGACCGCCCAGCTAGCCAGGCAAGCTAGCTGTCCACGATCCATAACAGCTTCATTTTTATGCGGTACTGCACTGGGTACTGGGGGATCTACCCACGCTTTCCGGCACGTGGCTGCGCCGTTTGCGGTACCGGTGGCCGATTGCGATCAAAACGTTCACCACCTAGTGTTGAGGCGAGAAAGAGCTCTATATGTCTGTACAAGTAGGTCTCCATGACATTGTATTTGTACTATTGTAGACTGCAAACAGGGAGGTGAGAACGGGAATGCATACCCCAGTACGGAACGGGACTAACCTTCAGTCTGTAGTCTACAGACTACACACACACACACACACACACACACACACACACACACACACACGCACACACACACACACACACACACACACATACACACACATACACAAACACACACACACACACTCAATGCAGTGTACGTCCAACGCCATAACAAGGTGCTGAACACTCGCAGACACAATCAAACACACAGTTGCGAGAGCAAGACGATTGTGTGTTACACTATCATAATGCAATGGCAAGGTTCAACTTTGAGACTCAGCTCCAAGAGATACTTGGTGTCCCAGACTCAATTTGGCTGGGATGCGTCCAAGTTGACCTGAACAAACCCGAGATAGGCCGTGGCTCGGATGCCACTGTGTATACAAGTGAGTTGGAGGGTCTCCCTGTTGCTGTGAAGGTCTTACATAGTATTTTACTCCAACAGGGCAATGTCGGGCGTACAGCTCTTCTGCAGCGATTCGGCACTAAGTGCCTAGTCATGCGGCGACTGCAGCATGAAAGAATTGTGCGACTGCTCGGGATCGGCATTGCTCCCAATCAATCTCCGTGTATAGTGGTAGAACTGATGGCCGGTTCGCTTGGTGATCGAATTGGAGTTGTTCCAAGAGAGCCATTCGCGCAAAGCCTTCAGTATCTTGTCGACACGGCGGAAGGTTTGCGCTTTCTACACGGCAAGAACATTTTGCATCGCGATTTGAAACCCCACAACATCTTGATCACGGCAGGGAGAGCCAAGATAGCTGATGTAGGTTTGGCCCGCTCTCTTCACGGTGGTCAAGGTGCAGACTTGACAACTCTGACACGGTGCCCCGGTACGCCTTATTATATGCCGCCAGAGAGCCTGCAAGTGGGCACAACATACGACGAAAAACTGGATGTGTTTTCTCTAGGAGTGGTGATGCTATCGCTGCTTGTGGGACGACCGCCTTCCCCAACTGAAGCTACTGTTCTGCTGGAGAATGGAACGCGGAGATCAGTTCCGGAGGGTCGCCGACGCAAAGCCGATCTGGATCGACTGGGCTCGGATCACCCACTACATTCTCTAATCGTGTCGTGTCTGCATGATGATCCTGGATCTAGACCAACATCAGCTGATGTTCACATGCACTTACTGCAGATCTCACTTCCCTCTATGGTAAGGATGTATTCACATAGTATAACATGACTTTGTACTCACTGTGCTGTACTGTTAGCATACAGCCTAGCTGGGTATACATGCAATGTGTACATGTAAATGGGAAATACTGGCTGATGCATGCCTGAATGGTGCAGCTAACAGAGCATACATTAGACCTGGCTTTGCCTAAGTACACACTCATACTCTCAGAGCGCGTTCGAATTGTCACTCTTTGACTTTTCCAGGAGACTCGTTTTTCTGAAGAGGTGGGCCTTATTGGCCTCTTCAGAAAAACGAACTCCTCGAAACTCCACTACCTCATCCGATGGGAGGGGTAGACTAGTTGCGAAGAGTTCACGTCACGTTGTACGTGGAGATGGTCGATCTGATCGGACGTCATCATCGCCAAGACAATTCCCCTGAAAAACTCTAAAATGAAAGAAACCGTTCTAATGGGACAACTAAATTAATCTCTTTTTAAAATTTGTTCAAACAGTTGATGAAGACAATTCAAACGCCCCCTAAGTCTTAGCTGGCTGTGCAGCATGACATTATATTACACATGATAAGGGTGCTGATATTTCAGTGGAGGCGGCGCACCCTGTCTGGACTGTCACACTTCAACAAGGCAAAACACTGACGTGTGCAAGATGATTTTATTGAAAAACACAAGCCTCACAATCACATGCTGGCTGGTGACTGGCTGTTCCCATGACATCAGCTATGTGACGTGTACATAGCAGTAGTGTGCATCTGCAGTATGCATAGTATAGCCCAGTGAAATTATGTAATCAACTGGGGGGGGGGGTGTTATAGATTTGCATAGGTCCCTTATCCAGAATGGTAACATGAAAACGTAAAGTAGTGGATCAGAGCCATAAGGGGTCGTCCGTAATTAAAAAATTAAAAAACCGTCCTCATACAAATGGGGTTGGGTGGTCACGAGTGTTGGCAGAATTTTATTTTTAGATTTTTCCGAGTCCAATTTTCATAAACCTTTTTTTTACTTCAGTGACTTACATACAGTTGTTGCACTGGCTTTGCAGGGTACTGACTGTACTCGTAGTGTCGCAAACACCAGTATGATGAACATGTAGTTGTAGGACGTGCATGGCCGTTGGTAGACCTACTAAAACAAAAACAAACAAAAACCAGAAACAAAACAAACTAGTACAGTAGCTACTAGTACAATGTACCTGGCACCGGTGCAGTCAGTGACCCTGGGGTCAGGAGTTCTTTTTTTATAGCTGGGCATTGGGAAACATCAAAAAATTAATGGGAAAAAATGGAGCAGGCTGGGTGGGTTAGAGAAAATTTTGCACGATGACGGATTTCTTTAATTTTTCGATAATTACGAGACCCCTAAATCCATAATAGCAGTGACAAGTTTGTACTACTCAATATACAGAGATTACTGCTTCACTCCGTCAATTTTGAATTCTTCCTTGCAAAATAATTGAATGCTCTCTTTCTGATTTGTGAAATTGTCTCGTTGTACTACACATCACGGGATTTTTGTGTTTTCTGTGATCCATAGGTAGAAATGCTTCAATTGGGTGCACGCAGAGCAAAATAATCCATACTAGTGTATGTGTGTGTGTGTGTGTGTGTGTGTGTGTGTGTATGCGTGTGTATGTGTGTGTGTATGCGTGTGTATGTGTGTGTGTGTGTGTGTGTGTGTGTGTGTGTGTGTGTGTGTGTGTGTGTGTGTGTGTGTGTGTGAATATGTGTGTTTGTGGATGGTGTTATTTTTTACGGTTCGTCTAGTCCGCAGATCGCTATTTGAGTCAGTTTGCAGACATTCTGACTCAACTGCAAACGATCTCCACACAACAGCAGGCAATCATCACCCGAGTGACAGCTGTGGAAGAGAAAGTGAACGGCATGGATGCATTGAGGGAGAGAGTTTCCACCATCGACACTAACCTCAGTGCCTACTCATCAACTCTAGCTTCACACAACTCCACCGTGGATTCACGCTTTGCTGCAGTTGACTCACGCATTGCTGCCCTGGAGTCAAGTGCCTCCAGACAGTCGTCTAGTGCCACTACTCAACGTCTGACGGCGACTACCTCACGCAGCCGTGACTCTATTCCCCAGTCCACTCCATCACCACGCAGTGCATCTTCTGCAACACCACCGATGATGTCATCCAGCGCTTCCTCAGCTCAAACACCAGCTAAAGTGCCCAGACAACGGTCAGCCTCAGATCAGACTACCTTGCCCAGAAACACATTGTCACCAACAGCATCAGGATCATCATCATCAGCAGCAGCAGCAGCAGCAGCAGCAGCAGCAGCAGCAGTAATAGCTGCATCTCCACCACGGATGGTTGGTCTACTTTTGAAAGGCTTACTTTTTACAAGTACAAGTTTATGCGACGGTATATCAAATTTCTCCTACAGTCTGTTGCCCTGCATGACTGGGTGTATAGTGGTACGTGTATGACGTCATCATGCATTAGTTGAGTATAGTTTACATACACACAACACTGGTGTGTGTTCAATTCAAGGTTTCACTATGCAGGGCATAACCATGAGTATATAATTATGACAACAGGCCCGTCGCACCGACTTTGGAGGAAGGGCGGCCGTGGAAGGGGGTCCGGGGGTACTTCTCAGTAAAAATTTTCAAAAATTAAAGTCAACTGCAATACGATCGGGGACATGGGTTCTTCATTATCCTCCCCCGGGAAAATAATTTCAAAAATTGAAGCCAATTTGCAAGCATTTCCAGACATTTGGTGCCATTTCAGTGAGTTGTAGTGCAATGAAAGACCTTTTTATTCTGCAATACACCACGATCGGGGACAAGGATTCTTCATTATTTGCCACGTTTTCGCTGAGCTGCGATCATGGAGTGTGCACCAAAAAAACAAAAACAAAGAAAAACATACAAAAAAACGGCCGAAAAAGTGGGGCGGCTTCAGCCGCCCCAGCCACCCCAGGTGTGACGGCCTTGTGACTAGTTACACTACAAATGATATTAGTTTAGACCTTTCCTTTGTTCCTTTTGCTGTCGACTCCATTGCTGTTGCCTCAATGTTGAGTTGTGGTCATGGTAACGCTTGAAACTGGTTTGTCATGGATATTCCGGAGGATTGATAGCGCTGCCCAATCTTATCAATTTTTGTAGGGTTGTATAGTCAAAAAATGTGTTCCCTCACCTTAGGGTGATGTATATCCCATCATCTACTCCTTATACGAAACATGAGGCCATTGAACATTTGAAATCGAAGTATGAAGTGTATGACCACCCAGCCAGGTTTGGCATCACTACTTTCTCCCTCTATGGTCCTAGTGTTGATTGGTGTTGTTCTTACTGCTTTCCTTTATTGCAGCGTGATTACACACAGATCCGCAAATCAAGGTACTCATTTGGTAGATATGGCAGTGGGAGAGATCAGTTTAACTCTCCTTGGGGACTAGCATCCAACAAAGCAGGTAACCTGATCATCTGTGACTACAACAACCACAGAATAAAGGTAACTGAACTCACAGTACAATGCTAACCGACAAGTACAGTTTGTATGTAAATGTCACTCTGATAGAGGACCTGCTCAGGATGGTCTGTGTGTGCATTTGTATAATTGAAAAATAAGGATCCCAATTGGTCAGGTTGAAGATGCTCAAGACTGTCTGAAACAGTAGTAGACAATCCCTTGGATGAATTCTTCAAAATTCTAAATTTATGTCACCATCCAGTTAACCTGTACACCTAGTGAACACAAGAGCTCAGAAGTTGATATGAGCAGAATGTCATTTCTCTTCAGAAGTGATCAGTTTTTCTAAACTATCAAACTGGAGAAAGGTTATTATTGTAAATCACAAAAGACTTTGTATACCTGTGACATCCCCACACCTAAATGTTTTCTTGGCCGAGCCATTCCAATTTCACATCACCACCGCAACGAGGACATTTCCATTGTGATATTGATATCTCAGACCCTGAAGGCAGCTGCTTTGCTCCAACAGAGCTCATCAGTGCTGGTTGGTAATAGTGGATGATCCGGATGAAGGGATAATGTTATAATAGGGTAAAACAGTCGCAATTGTGCACTTTTTACATCGAAGTGTGGCATGCCATAGGGCACTGAGGCTTTAGGTGATAACGGATAGTGCAAGTGTGCGTTACTGGGGCATGCTTTCAGGTCGTCTGCAGTACTAGAATTGGTGCAAAATCAACAAACAAAGAGAGGTGCTACTAGTAGCCAATAGCCACTCATACATACGAGTGCTGAATGTCCAAACACTGCACACTTGTATTGTCACATCTGTTAAAACTGCCCAATATCACCTAACCCCTTTGTTTGCTAGGGCATGTCACACTAGAGACTCGGAAAGTGTGAAATTGTGAAAGGTTTCCCCTATACAACATCAATCACTCATTTTATCTTAATCAACCATTATCAACAACCTCCACTGATGAGCTTTGTCACCGTGTTGGACCAAAAAGCTATCTGGAGGGTCTGAAAAGTCAATATCTCAACTAAATTGTCCTGGCTGTGGTGGTGATGTGCAAGTGGAATGGGGTGGCCGACAGCACATTGGGTGTGTAAGTGTGACTGACAGTTTTGGACGAGCTTTTCGCTAGATTCACACTATAGAACTGCAACCAAATGTTTACTACATGTATGTTTGGATCTGGGCTATGTATGGGTGCATGGTTGTGTTAACATTTGTAAATTGCATTCCTTTTTGTCAATACACTTAGATACACGGTGTTGATGGCCAGTTCAAGCAGACGACTGGTCGGAAGGGTACAAACTGTGGACAGTTCAAGTGCCCGCTAGCTGTGCATGTAACAGATGAGGAACGAGTGATCATTGCTGAGGCTGGCAACAACCGACTACAGGTATAGTCTTGGTGTTCCAATCATGTTGTAAGGATTACATGTAAACAGTAGCCTCTTTTACGTGCAAAATTGATCAACAATGCAGTAAAGCCAGCTGCTCAGAAAAACTTCAAAAAGGCCCAGAGAAACAAAAGAGAAAGCCGGTACGCGGTGAGGGACCGTTAGTAAATACATATACTTACTTTGAGATGACGTCACTGCGTTTCTTTCTTGACCCACTCAGATAATACCAATCATAATAAACACCATACTTTGCACATGTATACAGTACAGTCGACTCCACTTATAACGAACTCACATGCAGCGAATTCCGTGATATAGCGAACCCTTGTCCATGTCCTTGTTTGAAACCATACAAAATTGACCCTGTATAGCGAACAGTTTTCGTTTATAACGAACCATAATTATCTTGTCGGGTCGCATGTAAACCAAGTTGCATTTCGGAGGCTCGGCCTTCGAATGTGACAGTGTGTTAGGCCCAAAATCGCTCCGTTTTCATATAATTCATAGCGTTTTAAAGACAAACACATTCAACCTCATTTCCCGCCAAAACCAACCCTTCCCATAATCTCTTTTGCCTTTTTCTTCGCTTCGTTTTGTGAACGTTTCAATTATTTACTTCTCTCTGACATTCTTGTCACAACCATGGCCTCGTAAGCAACGCCACATGCTCATATCGGAGCAGTGTGCATGCCTTGCTGAGCGGAAACTCAGTGGCATCGGGTCGCGACCCGGATTCCAATCGTGACTCGGAGCTGGACGGAAATCCAGTTTACTGAGTTGAACGATTTGCTCAACAGGAGCTTGAACGGCCGTCGCTGAGCGGAAACTCAGCACGGTTCGATTTGACGGACGGAAATCCGTCAGTAGAATTTGCCCGATCGTCAGCTACTAAAAGCTGTATTCGATCCGCAGGCACTGGCGGCTGCCAGTAGATTATTATGTATTCCGATCACTCGGAGCTGGACGGAAATCCAGTTACTGAGTTGGACGATGTGCTCAACAGGAGCTTGACCGGCCGTGGCTGAGCGGAAACTCAGCACGGTTCGATTTGACGGACGGAAATCTGTCAGTAGAATTAGCCGATCGTCAGCTCCTGAAGCTGTATTCGATCCGCAGGCACTGGCGGCTGCCAGTAGATTATTATGTATTCCGATCACTCGGAGCTGGACGGAAATCCAGCTGCTGAGTTGGGAACTGGAACGGCCGTGGCTGAGCGGAAACTCAGCGCGGTCCAATTTGACGGGCGGAAATCCGTCAGTAGAATATTAGATAGTGATACTAATATTCTTTATTTCCACGACGGCCATGCCTTGTATACAGAATAGGAATTGGCCTATGATTGATTCAGATCAGTCTGAAATAAAAAAAAAATTAATAAATATAAATTAATTACAAAAAAATAAAAAAATAAAAATGATAAAAAAACATTTTTATTTTATTGTACTCATTCTCTGCGCGTGCGGACGCTGTGGAACAGCATGCTGTTTCATATCCTTCATATGATTGTGGACTGATATGATCATCAGCGCAGCATTGAGAAAATGAGGCCGAACCTGATACCAATGGAAAATAAATTTTCCAAAGCCTTATTATTATACTTTTAATCTACATGTCATGACATGTAGCAAGGGCCAGGGAGAAAGCCTGAACGACAGCTGCTGGAAGCTGTATTCGATCCAGAGACGCTGGCCGCGGCCAGTAGATTTAATTATGATCGTGTTCGATTGAGGCTCCTGTCATGATGCAGGATACTTATGTTGACAAAACAGTCCACGTACTTTGCCCGACCCAGCCATAACCAGATAACTGCGTAAGGTGTAGCTGCTATGCAACAATAATGGCGGAGTGTGCGAGACCCCGCACACCGTACTACAGACACGTTACTGATGCCAAGGGCTGATGATGTGGTTGAGTGCTGTGTATGCCAATGCGTCCGTATCCAAAATGAGGCGGAACTGGTTGATAGAAGCCAAGCACAAGCTCTTGGCTAAGAGCTGCCGGAGACTGGAAATCTCAGTGGCAAAATGTTTTCCACCAAGACCATGAAAAAGGTTTTAAAATCAGGCAATGCCCTGGTGGATGCATCGCACCTATTGCGAGCACAGCGTCACCACTAATCCCGCTTTCAAACTATGCGGCATTCCACAGTCCCCTCCGTTCTGCTGTGACACCTGCCCGTTTAGCGGCCGGTCGCCCCTTTTGGCGCAGGGGCCCCTTGCCATTCGGAGGCTACCGACTGGGGCCCTATACCAGACCAATCGGTCGTGGCATCCCCAGTGGTCATCAGCACAGAAGTGGAAACACTCCCCGGTGTATCGGACAGCCTGGCGAGAAGGCTCTCAGGGGCAGTCCAGCTCTGGCGCGACATACGCACCAAGACCCCGCAGACTCCTTTGTCACTACGCCAAGCTGTGGAGTGCATTATTATTATTATCAGTATCGACATGTTCGCGGTGGATCGTTTATGTTATGTACAATACCCGTTCCCAGCTATTAACTGGGAAAAGAGATCTGCTGTGCCCCATGCCATGGGTACGGGTCTTACTTTATAGCCTAGGTGTGGTGAAGCTTGCTGTTGAGAGCTGCGAAGCCTCATTGGCAGGATGGTAGCATCCCGGATAGCAATTTACCTACTTGTAGCGTTGCTTTGATTTCGGAATCTCCAATTCCAGTTACACCGGGCTCTGGAGCGGCCTTGGACAAGAATAATGTCTGACGCTCGAGCCTCAGGACGGCCTCCTTGCAGTGGTGGTCACACCAGTCGGCAGCACACAATGCCATGGCAGTAGTGCCAGCTCCGCCAGTTCTAATCAGGGAGTAGTAATGTACTACTCCCTGGTTCTAATCATATCATCGGATGCATCCGACTACGGTCGGGGTGCAGTGTGCCAGAACCGGGCCACGGGAGAGCCATGGACACATCTGGACAACTTACTTCCGCATCAACTGGAAGAATCTTCAAGCTGTTTTCCTGGGCCTGCAGATGTTCGCTCTTGCCAGTCACTGATAACAGTATTGCTGTGCTAGAGATGGACAACACAACAGCAGTTGCATAATTATGTTGATCACCAAGGCGGGACATACGAGACTCATATTCTCATCAGCTATGCCAACTAGCCAAGGACATTTGGACCTGAGTCGAGCAGCGCCTGCTACACCTCAAAGCCCTCCATGTGCCGGTCGCCTGAACACCGAGGCCGGTTTTCTATCATGGAACATTGAAGAGAGCGGCGATTGGCAGCTCAATCCAATTATACAGGGCTGGTTCAGCTGATCAGGGAGAGTCGCCATCCCCGAGATCTGTTCGTGACGCGGCACAATTGCCAGCTGCCGGCGTACATCAGCTAGCCACGGCTAAGACCAAGTGGCAGAGTGGTCCGATGCCCTCACGGCACCGCCGGCCATGTGGCGGAACGGCTACCTGTTTCCACCATTTGCTTTGGTGGACGCGTGTCTACGCTGCATCCGAGAACATCGGATCCAGCGAGCAATTCTAGTAGCTCTAGTTTAGCTGGTACAAGGGTTCTATCCCTTCTTGCTGCAGATGTTGATCTAGTGCTCTTGGCAGCTGCCACTGGGGGACCCTATGCTCCTTGATCCATGGGAAGAATCTACATCCACTGCAGGGCCTCCGGCTAGCCATTTGGACCATCTCAGGCATACTACAGCTCAGCTGGGACTTTCAGCAGACGCCTCCACACGGAGGCGCGACGGACCTACTGTCTGATACGAGTCAGCCTTCCGATTATAGAACAGCTGATTGGGTGCACGGTAGGAAGATCACATGGCTGCCTCACTAGCTAACTTCTTAGCTGATCAGGTTTCCGAAGGTAAGCAGTACCGCACTATCAACATGTGTCGGTCAGCTCTGCCGTCCCCCTTGCCTAACCCATCCGGTTTCCCCCTTAGCCAAGACTTGCATGTGTGTTGTGTCCTGCGTGGTATCTAGCACCACTAGCGACCATCACAGCCATAGTGTGGTAACACATGGGACGTGAAGATGATGTAGGATAAGAGTAGTGCTCTGGGTCTGAAAGCTCAACTTCGGGTGCCCCTTCTGTCCACGAAGACTTAGTGTGTAGTGCTAGTATTATGCTACTTGCGTTTGCAAAGTCAGCTCGATCATTTGAGCTGACCTCATTGGATATCAACTAAATGCAGGTGCTACTTGATGTTTCAGCTTACCTCGCCGACAAAGTCTCAGAGGTCCGGAATTCCAAACTCATTCTTCGTTCCCAAGCTACTACTAGTACTAGGTAGTCTGGCTAGCCTACAAATGTAGTTGATTATGCTCGAGAATTTAGAGCCCGCACAGCCAAGTTTCGATTGAAACCAGAGCAATCAGCATTCTACCACTGGCTTGGCAATCCCAGCTCCTCACATACCAGTGGGCTCATTCACTCTGGCACAGTGGCTGAAGGGTATCTTGTCTCTGTTTGGGAATTGATCCAGCCTTCCAGGCTCATTACACCTACTCGCGGCGCCTCAGCTGCAGCCGCTTTCCAGGCTGTCATCTGTATGTCAGATGCCTAGCTGGCAGCCAACGTCAGGCGAAATTACTGGTCAGTCGGCGACACGCATTTTTCACAAAAATTTGCGTTTCACCTGCTGGGAGAGTATGCGTGTACTCGAGTCTCATCCTGAGCACGTTTTTTTCTTCTTTTTTTCAGCTCCAGTATAGCTGTATTTTTCATTGCAAAGCCGTCCTCGATTGTTGTGTTCGTTGTTCAAACGAAGTGGACATTCAATCATGAAGGCAGAGGACATAGGAGCCTGATTGGAGTTTCTCGTGGCATAGGACGGCAACACAGAGACACTTTGGGATTTTCTGAATATAAAATACCTTACGCACGAGGCTGAGATCAATTTGTGCGATATCAAATTGTTTGTGATCTACCACATCGAGCAGAACGGGATCCAAACACAAGCTTACCGACGGTTAGGCTGCCGACCTGACTGGACAATTGATCCCTGGCTTCACCTGACGCCAGAAGTCG